GTTCCATCAACTTGCCCCCACTAAGGTATTCTTTGGAGTATCTGAGCTGCTCTTAAAGGCAATTTTTCGTTTCTGTAACAGCTAGTAAACAGGGAACAAAGCAACTGAAAGACCTCTTCATTTTCCCCTTCTTCCTAATTTAGCCCTGTTGGATTTTTGTTGTTGTTTTGTCTCTGTCAATAATATTTGCCTGGTTTCCCGAGAGACTAATCTATGATCCAGACTGATTCAAGCCTTTAGCAGTGCTGTGTATTCTCAGTTACTATAGGCACCCCCTTCAATCTACTCCACACCACAGGAACATAACTAAGATTTCTTGGAACAAAAGCTATGACCAACCTAGACAGCATATTAAAAAGCAGAGACATTACTTTACCAAGAAAGGTCCATCTAGTCAAAGCTATGATTTTTCCAGTAGTCAGGCATGCATGTGAGAGTTGGACTATAAAGAAAGCTGAACGCCAAAGAATTGATGCTTTTGAACCATGGAGTTGAAGAAGACTCTTGAGAGTCCCTTGGACTGCAAGGAGATGCAACCAGTCCATCCTAAAGGAAATCAGTCCTTTCCTTTGGAAGGACTGATGCTGAAGCTGAAACTCCAACACTATGGCCACCTGATTTGAAGAACTGACCCACTGAAAAAGACCCTGATGCTGGGAAAGATTGAAGGTAGGAGGAGAAGGGGATGACAGAGGATGAGATGGCTGGATGGCATCACCGACTTGATGAACATGAGTTTGAGCAAGCTTCGAGAGTTGATGATGGATGGGGAAGCCTCACGTGCTGCAGTCCATGGGGTCGGTCGCAAAGAGGCAGACATGACTAAGCAACTGAACTGAGGACCTTTACTAAAGGTCAAAAAACTATACTCATTAATTTGTAATTTTTACCTGACAGAATCATTAGGCAAAGGAATCATAGGAATCAATTACCTCCTGTTCAGGATAAATTAAGCAGCACTGAAAACATACCTGCTATTTTTCCTCTAAAACCTTACTGATCCTAATTATATAAATCTTATTATTTTAACCCCCATGACCATGTGCTCAAACTTTACTCATGATATTTATCTTCAGCTACTTAAAGGTACTTAGTTTTCTGAAAGTGAAAGTTGTTCAATAGTGTCCGACTCTTTGCGACCCTATGGCACATACAGTCCACGGAATTCTCCAGGCCAGAACACTGGAGCGGGTAGCCTTTCCCTTCTCCAGTGGAGATTCCCAACCCAGGAACCCAACAGGGGTCCCCTGCATTGCAGGCAGATTCTTTACCAACTGAGCTATGAGGGAAGCCCACTTAACTTTCTACTAGATCGAAAACTCTCTTGGAAGAGAGACTCATGAAGAAAAGGAATATCTTACTCATTGCTGTATCTCTTAAGTTAAGCCCCTACTACATTGCTCTCCTACTCATATAATATAGTAAAAATATCTGGTTATGTTCAGGTTCTACGGTCACTTTGTCCATACCTAATCTCTGAAATTCTCACTCCCGCTTTTATTAAGAAATAATGACCCACCCAGAGTTACAATGCAATCAGTGACAAAGTTAATGAACTCTACATGTCTTAGTACTAACATTTAACAATTATTTGACTTAAGAATGATTTATATTTTTGTAGAAACAGTACGATGATTTTTAAGGAAAATGAAAGGTATTCCTTATTTCTTTTTTCTTCAACCTTCAGGCTTGAGAAAACTTGCATCTTAGATCCAGGGTGAGATCTAGTTAGCCAGACGCCACACAAATAATATCACAGGTGAAGCAGGCCTGGTGGAGACCACAGTTAACTGTGGAGCTCAGAACTTAAGTGGGGCAATCACTACTCAGCTAGAGAAAACTATTCTCAAGCACTAACAGCAACCAGGTGAAGCCAAGTTCTGTGATTTCTCAAGTGATGCTAGAAATCAAGACTTCTTAAACATGAAGTTTTCCTATTTTTAAAAGTGGCAGCTAATCACTCAATGCTCCAAATACACTAAGAGCAAGCAATATGTATCTGTCAACTGGATTCAGCCCAAGAGGCCCCTGCTACTGCAGGCTCATAGTTTAAAATCTCTATACATAATAGAAGGTGGACTAAAGGAACTATACTACCTTACTGTCACCTCTCACCTCTGAGGAAGAAAGTAAGAGGAGGACCACGAAAAGAAGCTCTATTATAATAAACGAAGTATCAGTGAAAAACTCCTTTAACTTTTCTCTCTTGTGAAAAAAAAAATTATTAGCTGTTTTAGATACAGGACATTTTCTACATAAAAAATATATGCAGAGAATATTTTTCTTTTAAAAATTTTTTCCTAAATTTTGCAAAAAAAAAAGAGTATTCAAATAAATGTAATAGTTACATTTATACAAACTTAAACTTCTGGCCTTAACCAAACCAATGAAAATGCTCAGTAATAAACTGGAGACTAATGATTCACCATGCACACAGAGAAACAAGATACAAAATACTAACAGTTTTATTATATTTGCATTGGTGTATCTACATATTGTCACTTGATTCTTTTGTGACCAACATCACTGAACAACCTGGACACATGATTGAAACTCTGTGACTAGGGAACCCTAGTCTATCTAACGAACCACTGCGAACTCGAACCTCCTTAATATCATGTAATCAATAACTAAAGTGACCAGTCACTGGTAATCATATATTAATTTAGCCAAAAAAATTTCTTCAATACTTTTATGAAAGATTTGACATTATTTAACCAAGTCTCTAAGGCTTTTCCCTTTATTCAAAATTAGGAAATTAGAAAACACTTGAATTCCATCTCTAAATGTGCTTCACCTGCTGAAAGTCTTTATAAAGTTAAAATTTAAAATTTGATGTAATTAATCATGGTAGACAGGCCCTTGGAATTCAAAACATTCTCTCAAATAACTATTAGTATGGGAGCTCCTATAGAATTGGTAAGCAATTTAATGATGATAAAATTATGTATTATTTGAGCTAATTTACTAAACACTTATTACGTATCAGTCACTATGCTGAATACATTCAGGGATTTCTCATTAACCTTAAGAAGTATCATATGAGGGAGATACCACTATTACCCCATTTTACAGATGGGGAAACTGACCTTTGCAAGATCACACAGCTAGTAAGTAGCAGAGTCAGGATTCCAACCCAACTTGTCTAACTTCAGAATTTGCACACTTAACCACTACACTGTATTGTCTCCAGTGAGCCTAGGTTGATATCTAAGATAAAGAAAAGAGGGAAATTTGTACTTCTTGGTGGCAACTTTTAAAAAATATACTGAAATGGAGGATACTTTTTAGAACATGAACAATTCTCATATACACAGTCACACAAATATTTTTATTCCCAAACACAAATGATGAAAATCTCACAATGGACTGCTCACAAATATAATTTTTCTTAGGTTCTCATTTATATTTATTAAAAATTTAATTGGAACACTATGTTTTCTGCTCATTTCTGTGGTGAACCTAAAACTGCTCTACCAAATAAATTCTATTTTTAAAAAACCTTAGAACTGCAACACACTAAACATGCCTAATTCAATTTAGTTAAGAACTAGCATAAGACTATATTCTTTCATTATGAAAAGCTGGACTTTATCATAACCACAGGGCCCTTAATACTTAAGTAGTTTTGAAAAAAGGCTTGAAGATGTGTAAACAGTGCTGTAAATTTTGAATTTTTAATACTTTCAGAACACCTTCAGAAAAGTCTGCAATATGTAGATAAGAAATGATAAGCTGAAATTAGACAAAAATTGAACTCATGGTGAACAATATAAAAGGAATAAAACATAAAATATAAAAGGAATAAAACATATCCATGGCTGACATAAATAAAATTAACTTTACTTTTCCATCAAAAGATGTATGTAGCCTTAAGTCAAAAATGTCCTAATTTGTTAAGTCCTTTCTAAATCTTCTAAAGAAGCTTATCCAAAAAAAGAAAAGAAAAAAACACACACAGACACAAAAAACACCTTCAACTGTCTAGAGTGATTGTCAACACAGGAATCAAATCTTTCTTCCTCTGATACTTCACCAAGGTTATCAAAATTCTAAAGGACAATTACGACAGATATGAGGGATCTATAAAACAAGTTTTGCCTACTGCCCATCAACATGTTCCTCTCAAGATCCAAACCTAGATTCACTTATGAAGAGAACAAGGGGGAAGGTACTACATATACATTTGTCCTGTATATTCTGCAGAAGATTGTCAAGATTAATTTTCAAATAGAATACTGTATTTGCCACCAACAAAAGGTGTTGAAGGGAAGCACAATATTAATTTTAGTTCGCTTCAATACTGTACTTACAAAGTTTCAACTTACAGAAGAATTATACTAGTGTATTAGTAAATGGGAATTCTACTGCACACGTTAAATATTGTTGGAGTACAAGCCCTTAACCACACCAGTAAGTAACAGAACTTTCCTTTCTCGCTGACCCCCGTTTTCAAAAGCAATCCAAAGACTTTTCTGCATCGCAATGCTTTCAACAGCCAAAAGCTGGGAAATGCAGGGCAACAAAAACAAAGCGATCTGACCAAGGCATGTTTCAAACAATACTAGCACGATACTCATTCAAATATTCAAAGCTTCTCACTAATCGTCTAGCTTCAACAGGGAACGCAACCAGGTTAATACAGACCACAACTGCCTCGGTAGCTGCAAGCTCAGCTGAATCCCAGGACACCACCTCAATCTGCAAGGGACAGAACCATATCCGGTTCTCCCTGAATACACATTTTCCCATGCTTCCCATCTTGAAAACTTTACATCTTCCCAGAGGAGCAATAAATATACCAAGACGCCAGGGAGTGTGCCTGTAGGGAAGATGAGTGATCAAATTAAATCCGTACGCACGGAACCTTGAGCTTCAAAAGTTTTTCTGAACGAGTCACAGCTGAAAGCACTACGAGTCACAACTGAAAAGAACGAGACCTGTTTTTCCTATTTCTTTCCAAGGAGTCAGTTTCCCCCAAAACGCCGGTCTTGACTTACTGGTTAGTCGGAGGAGCGGTCAGCGGGATGGCCACCTCTTCCTCCTCGTATTCTGGTCCATCCAGAGAGTCACCTTCGTCCACTGTTCCCAGGCCAGCGCCCAAAGTGGGTAATTGAGGAGGCGGCGGCGGCAGAGGGGGGAATCCGCCGCCGGCCCCGAAGGTCTCAGCGGGCAACGAAGTGGTCCCCTTGGCGACAGCCATCTCCCCGCCCGGTCCGGCGGCGGCGGCGGCGGCGACACCAGCCACGCCGGCGGCAGCGCCTCCGGCTGACAGTCCGGGTCCACCCGGAGCCCCCGCCACAGACCCAGGACCCAGGAAGCCTGACCCCACAGCGGCTCCGCCACCCAAAGTCGCGGCCACGCCGGCCTCCGCCAGCCCAGGAAAGGGGGCGGCGGCGGTCACGGGAAGGGCCGCGGGGATCTTCACCCGACACGCCGCCGGGTAGGCACCCGAGGCCGCGGCCGCGCCGCCTCCCGCTGCCCCGGCGGTGACCGGGCCGCCCTCCTCACTGCCGGCCTCGGCCGCCATCATGTTGAAGCCCGCTCTATGCGGCCCTACCCAGCCCGCCCGGGAGCCCCCAGGGGCCACCAGGCCCGGGCTCCGAGCCGCCCCACCCAGGCGCGTCCCCTCTTCAGCTCCCCGGGCGGAGGAAACAACAACAAAAGGAGAAAGCCCGCCGCCGCCGCGCCCCCTCTCCGGGCCACAGCCCAGGCTCGGGAGCTCCCCGGGTTACGGGAAGAGAAGTGGGCAAAAAAACCCCAACGCCTGCACAAACGCCGCCCAAACCTTCACCTTCCACACCCACACTCGCGCGCGCGCACACACTCACACACACACACATGCACAGAAGCGAAAAACTTCCTGGCTGCACTAAAGAGGAAGGGAAGCGAGGTGGGGGGGGAAGCGGCTTGAGGCGGCTGCTGCTCCCTCAGCCGCCGCCGCCGCCGCCACCGCTTCTTCACCACCCCAATTCCGGCCACCCCCACCGCAACCACCACCGCTGCCGCTGCAGGGGCTGGGGCCACTGCAGCCGCCTCATCCTCCACCGGGCTGAGGCGGGAGGGGTGGGGAGAAAAAGAGGAAGGGGGCGGGGTAGCGGGGAAATCAACCGAAAGGCTCGCAACCTGGAGCGCTAAGTGACATCGACGAGAGAAAGGAAGGCGGGGCACGGGAGGAGGGGCGGAGGGAAGGAAGGGCGGGGAAGGAGGGGCGAGAGGGCAGCTTCTGCGCAGGCGCACTCCCCGCGCGGAGGCGGCGAGTTGGGGTGGGGAGGGGCGCGCTGGGCCTGGACTAGAGAAAGGAAGACTGGAGGGAAGGAAGCGGCGGGGATGCGCGGTGTGCGGCTGCGTTCGCCGTCCCGAGCCGAGGGGAGCACGAGGCGGCGCGGCCGCGCTCGCCGTCCCGAGCCGGTCGGGGAGCGCGTGGCGGCGCGGCCGCCTCGCCGGTCGGTGTGGCAGGTGGCGCGCGCAAGCCTGACTGGGCTTTGTCTGAGAGGCGCGTTAGGCGGCGGAGGGGAGGAGTGGGTTCCCAGCACGCGGCCGCTCAGCGCGGTAAAAAAATCTGAGCGACGAGGATGGGTTCTTGAAGAGGGAGGACGAGGGAGGGAAAGAGAAAGGAAGATGGGGCGAAGCCAGTTCTTCGCTTCCCGACCAGTAGAGCGGACGCCGTAGTCGGCGTCGCAGAAACCCGACGGCCGAGGCCCGCGGGGGTGGCGGTGGGAGGGGTACCTGCCTGGAAGTCCGAGAGGGCCCTGTTAGTGTTACGTTCTCTTTTCATTATATAAATGACTATATGACTATTTCAAGCTGAAAAAATAAAATGAAAAATTTAAAAATAGGTTCTAAGAAGAGAACGAAATGGATAACAAGGGAGACATATGGGGAGGGCTAAGAATTTTAGTAGAATCGGTTGTGAGTCGGATTTCTGTCACTGTACGCATTTTGTTGTCCTCTCCGACTCTCCCTGTATTCTTTTTTTCTTTATTTTCCCTTTTTCCACGCCCACATACACTACCTTTGCCATTGCAGGTCTGTTGGGTATAATAAGGTGTGGAGAGGAAATGTGCCCCAGACAACGCTAATCAAATGCACTTTTTTCTCACAAAACACGGCAGGGCACACTCCACGGTACACGTGTGAATGTACAGAGCAGTTTCAACCGGCAAATGTCAAGAAGGAGCCAAAGCGTCAGTTACAATTATGTATGCTCAAAGATAATAAAGTTCACCCTTTATATATCCAAAGACAGTGGGTTTTGTCTTTTATAGTGGAATATGTATAAAAGTGTGCTCCCCTGGTAGGTCGGCTGTAAAGAATCCGCTTGCAAAGATAGAGACGGAAGTTCGATCACTGGTTGGGGAAAATCCGGAGAAGAAAATGGCAGCCTATTCCAGTGTTCTTGCTTGGGAGGAGGGAAGAGCACATGAACATCTCATGGATAGAAGAACCTGGCCGGTTACATCCATGGGGTCGCAAAAGGGTGGGACACAGCTGAGCTACTCAACAACAAATGTATAAAGGTAGGTGGAGGAATCATTTCCATTTTTTTTTTTTTTTTGAAATTCCAGTATCTGATTAGACCTTTTGGATTCATATGTTTTGCTTTTATTTTGCATTCTCCTAGGAGGAATCTCACGTTAAATACCGTTAATCTTTGAGATTAATATTTTCTCTGCTAAGGGTAATAGTCAAACCCACAAGAAGCACATTGAGGATGGGAAGGGGCTGTGTAACAGAGGCCAAGGGAAGGGAAAGAAAACTAAAGGAGGTGGCAAGGTGCACACAAGATGTTTTCCTTTAGAAATGTCTATTTCCGTAAGCCTGGTTGCCAAATCCACAAGAATGTCCTAAGGACTCCTTCATTCTTCTTGCCTCTTAACTTAGTAGGGAGAGTGGAGGACTACTAATCACAATAATAATCTCAGACCAGCAATATCCCAGGAACCTGTTAGACATGCAAATTCTTAGACCCCCACCGCAGACCATCTTGAATCAGAAAAATGCAGTACTCTTGTTTTAATGAATTCCCCAAATTTTCACATTTACGTTTAAGAAGCAATATAGTATGCTAAACAAGAAAAAGATATGCAACACCATCATCAGCCTTTGAACATACGACATTAGACTGGCTCTACTAGCTCTGGGTTAACACACAGCATAGGTATTCTGCCTGAGATTCCAGGTCAGGCTCACTAATTTGCATTTCCATTCCCTTTTCTGGAAATTCTTTAGCATCTAAAGGTCAATATTTAATGCAGTCCAACACCAGTCACATACCGATGTATACTATTTTCTAGTTCCTACACTGCAGACACAACTTGTAGTCTAACCTACTGCCTAACCTAATGCTAGGCATCTTTGTCAATTGCTTTGAACAGGTCTCCATTCTTTTAAAAAATACTAGATTAGATCAGCTCACATCTTTAGACATCAGTTGCTCAACCAGTGGGAGAGATCTACTCTGTCTATGTATATAGCAACCTAATACCAGTGTCTTAACATTATATTCAGTCTTAGAGTACTGTTGTCTTTTCCATCTAAAGAGATTACCACACATTTCTGATGAGATATTTTCAAATTTTTTACACATTCTGTTTATTGGAAGGATCTAGGCCTTGATCTTTATTATTCGTTGTGTACTCCCTTAAATCAGTCTTCTGTCTTCAGTGACTTATTTTTTCCAAAAAAGGCTAGACGTTTTACTCTCTTTATTTTTTTCGATTGCCTTTTTCTTTTTCTACTCACCTTGACCTCTCCATCTTTCATTTATAGTCTTTACAGTTTAATTTTTTTCTGCTAATTTCTCCCTCAATTTCTACCTCTGTGTTTCTCTTTCCTTTTCTTCCAAGTCCCTGAATTTCCTGACATGGATAATGTACTACTTGAAATTTCATAAGTCAAAAACTGAAGAACATTTTTTTAAAAATGATATATTTATTTGGAGAGAGGCATTAAGGGTTTCTGCAGGGACTGATGTTAGGTGTGGTGTTATGTAACATTAGTTAACAAAGGGAAGTAAACAGTCTGCTAATTAAATTCACAGATAATATTAAACAGGGAGGCACTGAGAAACAGAACAATATACAAAAAGAGGAAAATTCCAAATAGCTTTTACTCTTAGTAAAACAATCTTTGATATCTGTGATTTGAGAAAAGTTACTCTGGATATAGAATTAAACAGCATTTAATGAAGAATAAATAATAGATGTCAAATAGATGGGGGAAAAATGGAACAGTAACAGATTTTTTGGGTTCCAAAATCACTGGAAATGGTGATGCAGCCATGAAATTCAGAGACTCTTGCTCCTTGGAAGAAAAGCTATAACAAACCTAAACAGAATATTAAGCAGCACAGATATCACCTTGCTGACAAAAGTCTGTATAGTCAAAACTATGGCTTTTCAGTAGTCATGTATGGATGTGCAAGTTGGACCATAAAGAAGGCTGAGCACTGAAGAATTGATGCTTTTGAACTGTGGCTGGATAAGACTTGAGAGTCCCTTGGACTGCAAGGAGATCCAACCAGTCAATCCTAAAGAAAATCAACCCTGAATATTCATTGGAAGGACTGATGCTGAAACTGAAGCTCCAATACTTTGGCCATTTAATACGAAGAGCTGACTCATTGGAAAAGACCCTGATATTCAGAAAGATTTGAGGGCAAGAGGAGAAGGGGGTGACTCAGGATGAGATGGCTGGATGGCATCACTGACTCAATGGACATGAGTTTGAGCAAGCTCCGGGAGATGGTGAAGGATAGAAAAGCCTGGCATGCTGCAGTTATGGGTTCCCAGAGTCATACATGACTTAGCAACCAAGCAACAACAACAAATAATCAAAAATGCTGGGCAAAGACTTATGGGTAAAAAAAATCTGAACACTTAATTTTCTAAAAAATGAATTTGACTCATTCTGATTTTACTGGCAACTCAAATATGAATATAATACACTCTAAAATATGTTACAGATTTGATACTTGAATATGTGAAAAGATAACTGACTCAGTAATACAATTTTAGAGAATGTTTCTGAGGGGAATACTGAGCAAGAAGCGATAAAGATCATAGTTGTGTTTCATGCCCTAGTACACATTCAGCTAAACAAATAGGCTTTCAAGTTTCTGTAAATAATGTCAAAAGGTTTCATTGACCTCAAAATTTTACTCCTAACCTCTAATATCCTTAGTGCATTTGTTGACCTCATCTTAAAATTTTCAAGAGCATAAATTTCCTTACTAGGAGATGTTTTGAGCAAATAACATTGAGGAGATATAGGTTAATGGAAATTATTTTGATGAAAAAGTAAATAGCTCTTCAGAGATTACAGTATGTGGTATAATAGCTAAATAAGCTTGAAGGAAATTATAAACACTATGGAGAAATTAAAGAATAGTACAAACCGAGGCTCTAAAACTTTAAAGAAAAGTATTAGAGCTCTCTTACGACATTTAAACTTATATATGGTTAAAAGTGGAACTTCCCTGGTAGCTCAGCTGGTAAAGAATCCACCTGCAATGCAGGAGACCCCAGTTCAATTCCTGGGTCGGGAAGATTCCCCTGAAGAAGGGATACGCTAACCACTCTAGTATTCTGACCGGGAGAATTCCATGGACTGTATAGTTCATGGGGTCGCAAAGAGGCATTCATGGGGTCGCAAAGAGGCAGACAGAACTGAGTGACTTTCACTTTCACTTTTCATGGTTAAAGGTGCTTAGATCAATTGGACTGAGAATAAATATCCCTTCTCTTGAAAGAGTAGAAAAATGTGTTCATTTTATATTGTTTGTTTTTTATCTTTTGGTCTTTATTTTGTTAATTTTTCCATTATTCTATATCAGAAATTTTTCCCCTTCATCATTTCTAATTTGTTTTTCTTTATCCACTAGATTCCTCTACGTTTCCTTTCTGCATCTGGGTTCCTTTACATGATAATGTGCCATTAGAAGTAAAAGCGAAGAAGTGGAATGGTTTTAGGGCAAGGGCAATGGGGGACTCAGGGTGGTGTGAGACTCCAGTTCACATTTCCTCATAATTAACTCTATTCTTTGCCTCTGTGGCAACAATTTAACTACTACCTGAAACACCTGAAACAGTTTAAATACCACCTGAAACAGAGTCATGGAATCCAACTAACCTTTGGCCTCTTCACCTTAGGAATTTTGCAGAGTCTCTTAATTCTGATTGCTTTCTTGGGTCT